CTTTCTTTCTTTCTTTCTTTCTTTCTTTCTTTCTTTCTTTCTTTCTTTCTCTCTTTCTCTCTCTCTCTCTCTTCTTTCTTTTCTTCATTCCTTTTTCTTTCTTTTTTCTTTTATTTTCTTCATTCCTTTTTTCTTTTCTTTTCTTTTCTTTTCTTTCCTTCTTCTTCCTCTCTCTCTCTTTCTTTCTCCCTCTTTTTTCCTGCTCTCTTTTCCTTCCTTTTCTTTCTCATGCAATGTCTCTCTTGCTTTACTTTTTCTTTATTCTCTATTTATATCTCTCTTCCCTTTTTTTATTTTCCTTCTTTAATCTCTTTCCCTTCCTTCTTCTCTCTTCATCGTTCCCTCATTTGTTTTCTTTTTTCTTCCTCTCATCTCCTTCCTTCCTCTCTCCCCTTCTCCCTTTTTTCTCTCTTTCTCCCTTTCTTCCTACTCTCTCCTGTAATTTCTCTTCTTCCTCTTCATTTGTAACATCTCTCTCACCATTTTCCCTACTGCTTTTTTCTTTTCCATCCTTACCTTCCCTCCTTCTTTCTTAGCACCCAATAACTACAGTCACCATAAAGCAAACTTCCTCACCCTGACACCTCCTGAATACCTTGGACGGCACCCTCCCACCCCCACAAACAGCAGCCCAACTGGCCCTGGCCCCCTACTGAATTTGTCTAGAGGGCAGGGTGAAGAAAGCTTGAGACAGATGCCCAGAGCAGCTTATCCAATCTCCATTCTGGAGGCAGTCTTTCTGTACTTCATTAGTGGCATGGAAACCCAGACCACTAGTGTCTTAACAGACTAGTAAAAAATAAAAATAAAAAATTGAAGGCTAGTAAATTTCACAGGGTTTACTAAGGTCAAACCTTCATACATCCAACCAAATAGACTTTTTGTCTATGGAAGCCAATGCCATAGCAAATTGGTCTATGGAAGCTTCCAGTCCTGCATTCTCACCTGATAGTCCCCAGTGATAGTAGGTTAAGGTAGTTTCTTAAAATAAAAACAGGTATTTTCCTGCTGAACTCTTCTCATCCCACTTCCCTCATGCTAGTCCTCCATAAACTGTTTTGCAAACAATGGTAGGGCTAGCAGTGCCCTAGATTTATCCGTTGCAAGGATTTCCAAGACACGAGGGGGCGTTGTTTGACAAGCATGAGCCAAACAGCTGTGCGCTGGAACTTTTAAGAAATTATTAGCAGTGGTTCCTTGATTTGTTACTAGAATCCTGAGATTCAGCAGCATGTGCTGGGATGAAAAACGGGAAGGATTTGTTTAAGGAACAAAAGGCTTATGAGCATGTATTTAGGCCAGTCACTAGGTTTCAGTTTTAGCATTTTTCTTCACCCTTGGCTCCTAAGAAAGTAAGAAGCCTGAGATTAAATACCAGATTTTAATGGTATTTAAATATTTACAAGGGATGCTGTTTGTGATCCAGGAGGTGGTATACAGACATCACAACTAGCAATTTTGGTAACTTTCCAGAACTTCTAGCTGTCCCCTTGTAAAAGTTCAAGTCTCCTTCAAGACAAGCTCAGCTTGTGGTGACTTCATGAATGTGTCCATGTAGTTTCCTTGGCAGTTGAATGTGGAACATATTATGGCTGATGGATGTTCCAGAGCACCTATTAGTACTGTGAAGAGCAAAGGAAAGACTGAGTCTGAAGAGACAGAGTGATTCAAAATCAAGATGGGAATCCAGACTGGAAGTCAAAACACTGACAATTTGAGACAGGCGATTGACACAACTTGGAGAGCTGAAAATAAAATATTAGAAGACCTCATTACAAAAATAACAATGGTAGGTGAAGAACTACTCAGTGTTAAGAATACAAATGTGATTTCAACTTATCCTTCATGAATTCATGATTGATGGTGAGGAAGTAAAGGAAGTGGATAGTTTTGTTTTTCTTGGATTCAAGAAGAGCTAAAGATGGATGGATGCTGCAGAAGACAAGAACCTAAGGAGGAAAGAATGAGAATCTTAGACCAGATTGTGAAGGATAAGAATATAACTACGTCAGCTGAGATTAGTGTAGTTTCTCCAAGAAGAAGAAAGGGATGCAGATCCATTTCACATGGGATCCTTTTGACAGGTGGTTGCAGATGTGGGTTACATCAATGCTGTTTTTAATGGTAATGTCCACTTGTGAAAGTTGGATGTGAAAGAGAGAAGGAAATAGACAACTTCAGGTCATAGCTTTGGAGACCAAGAATGGTAAAAAGAACCCGTCAATCAAGGACTGAAACAGATCAAGGCTGACTGCTCCCTTGAGGTGATGATCAGGAAATAGAAACTCATATACTTTGGGCACGTGACGCGAGTTGGTAACGGACTAGAAAAAAGAGTCCTGCTTGAATAACATGAGAGGATGGGATCAGTACAACAACTTTGAGTTATGGATAGCGACTAGGGTTGAGATCAACAGCATTAGGGAAGAAAGGGATTTCTTCCCTTCTTCCCTTTTATTTTCGTGAATGTATTGTTATAGGTTTTAATTGTATATTTATTTATTGTTTTAACGTGTTGTGAGCCGCCC